ACAGACACACACACACACACACACGCACACACACACGCACACACACACACACACACACACACACACACACACACACACACACGCACACACACGCACAAACAGACGTAAACAAAACGCACACGTGCTCGTGGACCCACGGAACGTTCTACGGATCTGTCGTAGGCTCCACCGTCAAGTCCGGGGGCGGCGAGGGGCCGCCCCCCCGCGGGGGGCGCGGGGGGCGGCCCGGGGCAGAACTTCCGCCCGCCGGCGCAGAGGCCAAGAGGGCCGCAAGCCGAGCGCTGGCCCGGAGTAGTTCCGAGGACCTCCTCCCTCCGCCCTCCTCCTCCCTCCGTTCTCCTCCTTCCTCATCGCCCTCCTCCCTCCTCCTCCCTCATCCCTCCTCCCTCCTCCCTCCTCCTGTCTCCTCCCTCCTCCTCCTGCCCCCCTTGTCCCCGGGCCTGGTGAGTCTGCTGTGCGCCGCCGCGCCTGCTGTGCGGGTCACGCGGGCCACATAAACTCGGGTCACGCGGGCGTTGCAGGATTCTGCAAGATCCTGCAGGATCCTGCACCCTGACCCGGGTCAGTGCACCCCCAGCACTGCAGGATCCTGCAAGATCCTTCGCTCTGGCTGACCCCCCGTTTGCATTGATCCCCGTCTCTTGAGCCCCGACTCCCGAGCCGTGGCCGGGCCGGCCGGCCTCCCCACGCCTCCTGCACGGAGGAGGGGCCGCGACGGGCATGCACGTATCACACCCTCGACCCATACAAGGGAACTTTTTTCGTCAGCGGCGATGCGGCAAACTCCTCTCCAGCGAGAAGCTAGGAAAGGGCACAAACTAGCAAATTGGCCAGCGGGCAAAGAGGGGGGGGACGGCCGAGAGGAAGAAGGGACTTTCACCATACAAGGGAACAGACGCCCCCTGGCGGCGCCTCCGGCGCCGCCACTGGCGCGCCGCGCGCCAAGGAGGGGGCTCCAGCGAGGATCCGAGAAATCCGCGCGGCCCTCCGAGTTGTTATGCTTAAACCGTTGCTTGTTCACCTTGGCACGCGTGCCTCGTGCGTGCCGTGTCAGAAGTACTGCTCAAAATTGCTACTGGCCAAGAGCTCTGCTTGCTGCTGGCTCCGAATGAATACTTAGCTTAAGTCGGGCATGTCCTCCTACAGGCGGATTTTGACAGAAAAGTGAAAAAAATGTCCAACAAATTGGTCTACAATAGTCAAGAAGTAATCAAAAATCGTCCCCGGACTATTTTTGAACTGTTTTTGAACATTCCTCCTGTAGAGGGACACGCCCGACTGAATAGCGCGAAATAAAACGTACCACCGACTCGGAAGATCGAGGCTCTCAGATTACTGTCTGCTCCCCCCCGTCCTCAGCCAGCAGAGCCACCGCGGAGGAAGACAGAGGTCTCCGACGTCCTGGGCCAGTGCCCTAGACTCCGGAGCTAGACCGACCCGGGGGCTCGAGTGTCGCTCGCACCGTGGGGACGGTCGTCGGGAAGAGGAGCACACATCGCCTCCTCTTTGCCGCAGCGAGGACGCGGCACGGCGCGGTCGAAGTAGAAGGGCACGGGGCTGGCCCATGGTGCGCCTGCGCAGCAGGAAGGCAGGCACGCCGCCACTCCGCCAAGGTCTGACCAGGCGGATGGCCAAGACAGAGGCCGCTTAGATGGGGTCAGAGGACAGAAGGGGTCGGAGGATCGCGCCCGGTCGACGACACATCGGCGATGCATCGGCGATGCATCGGGCATGCATCAGCGACGTCGGCGATGCATCGGCGACGCCAGCGCGGAGAACACCGGACTCCGCATCGAGCCGCATCGCCGATGCATCGGCGATGCGGTCGGCGACCCTCCGACCCCTCCGCGCGCGGATTCCAGGCGGAGGGCCCGGACGAGAGGCCAAGCCGGGCGAAGGCGGCCACGCCGCGGCCCGGACTCGTGGGACGCCCGTGGAGTGCACGAGAGCGCGGACCACGACCAAGTCTGGGCGCGGAAACGTCGTGCCGATCTTGTTGGTCACCGTCGGTCTTGGCCGGCGCCGATGCTTGGGTCGTCCTCGCGAGTCGGCGACGGCCGACACGGACCAGGACCAAGATCGTCATCGACAAGAGCTCGGTCATGGTCCCCGCGCTGCTTCCCTCGCTCTCGCTCTCCCGATGGTCCCGATCTCGGTTGCCCGCTCCCCCGATGCTCTCCGTGTTTCGTCCCTCGCCCTCGCTCTCCGGCTCGCGCTCTCGCTCTCCCTCGATGGTCCCCGTGCTGCGTCCCTCGCCCTGGCTCTCCCGCTCTCGCGCAGGCCGTCACGGCACAACCAACCCGCATTTGACTACCTGCCAAACCACCCCAACCCAGCCCGAAGACCTAAATTTCGGATTGGCGGGGGGTACGGGCTCCATGTGCTTTTCAATGTTCCCCGCCCCCCCCCACTGGAATTGCAGGGCAAGTCGGGGCCTTCGGGTTGGGTTGGGGTGGTTGGGTGGGCGGTGAGTATTTGTCGGGGATTCAGGGGGGGGGGGGGGATGAGGCCTTCGCGGAGAGCGCGGGGCGGGAAGTGAGAAGGGGCTCGCGGACCGAGCACCTCCTCCTCCTCCTCCTCCTCCTCCTCCTCCTCCTCCTCCTCCTCCTCCTCCTCCTCCTCCTCCTCCTCCTCCCCCCCCTCCTCCTCCTCCTCCGCCCCGAGCCGCTGGAGGTTAGTGGCGCGTCGGGCTCTGGGCGAGGGCCGGACGGAGTGGTCTCCGATCTGCGGCCAGCCTGGAGGTAGGAAGTGAGAAGAGGCGGGCCATCTCAAAGGCGCGGGAGGCCTCGGGCCCTTCTGGGAAGTTGTCTAAGCCTTCTCCAAAGGCAGCCAAAAATTGATCATAAAGCGCGAGGGCTTCTGAGAAGCCCCGCCGCCTTCTGAGAAGACATGCTCCTTCTCACTTCCCCCCAGGCGCGCCGACGAATGGCTTCACGAAGCGAGCCCGATCGGTGACTCTCTCACGAGCACGCAGAAAACCTCCGTGCGTTCTCCACGCGGGCTCGATTCCAGTGATGCCCGAGGTGACGGAGAGAGCGAGGTACGGGTGGTGATGTTCTGGTGGGGCGAAGCCCTCTAGGGAGGTGGTCCAGAGGAGAGGCGAACCGCGGCCGCAAAAGTCTAACACGCAATCGCCCCCCGAAGACTGCCCAAGAGGCCCTCCAAAGCGGCCAAGAGGCCCCCAAGACGACCCAAAAGAAGTCTAAAGGGCTCCGATACGGCCCAAGAGCGCTCCAAGAGATCCCAAGACCGCCCAAGAGCAGTCCAAGATGGCTAACGATGGCCTCGAGACGGTCCAAGAGGGCCTCAAGACGCCCCCAGAGGCCCTCAAGAGAACCCCCACGAGGGCTCGAGACGGCCCGAGGAGGCAAAAATAAGTGATCTCCCGTTTGTGCTTCTTTTAGAATTGGGATACCGCCTTCTTGGGCACAGATCGGCAGAAGACGGCTCTAGGGACCTCCGAGATTGCCCCGAGACAGCCCACGAGGCTCCCAAGAGGGTGTCAAGACGGCCAAAGAGGGCCCCAGATGGCCACCGAATGCCCCCAGACGGCCGTAGGGGGGCCCAAGAGGGCCCAAAAAAAGCTCCCAAGAGCCCCCAAGGAGTGCCGTAGTTGGCCGCCAAGAGGGTCGAAGAAGGCCCCAAGAGGAGCCCAAGACAGGCCAAGCCCCAAGACTGTCGAACAGGGCCCTACAACGGCCCAAGAGGGCGCCAGCACACCCAACAGGGTTCCCAAAGGACACCCCCCCGAACAGACCAATGACGGACGTAGCTGTGACGCCAAGGCCCCCGGGAGCACCACGGACTGGAAAAGATGCGTTCTCCAAGTAGGCTTACCTAAAGGAGTCCTAGCTCAATGACGAAAAGAACTGGCCCACTGTCCCCCCGCTCTACTTTGCCATTGAATCTTCAAACTATCCACATGGCTTCATCTGTATTCGCATGCCTTCCCCTGCTGGCTTCCTCATATCCGCATGGTTTCGTTTTATCCACATGGCTTCCGCGAAGATGCTGGCGCGGGAGAAGGGGAGCGGAGAAAGAGGAAGAGGAGGAAGAAACAAAACTACCTATACGACTACCCTTCGAGTGAGAAGGAGGCTGGGGGGAGGTGAAAGAACCGACTGCTGACAATTGCAGTGGGTGTGATGACGACGATGCTGGTGGCGCGCCCTCGACTTGGCGATGACGCGTGACGAAGACGTTGCGCCGCAATGTGATGTCACTGTCGGCCCCGATATCCGTCTCACTCGATCGATCTCACTATCGACCTCACGGCCAGTCTTTGTATCGATGGATCCAGCGATCGATCCCATTAGCGATCTCACACTGAGTGGCGCTAATTACAATCAAGACACCATCGGGACACAATCGAGCCAAAGCATTGCCACCACCACTGGTCGATCTCACCACAGATTTCACCACATCTCGGTCGTTATCGATCTCACAATCAATCGGGACACCATCGGGACATCACGGCGGGACACCACGGGACACCGCAGGACACCACCTGACACCACGGGACACCGCGGGACACCACTAGGACACCGCGGAACACCTCAGGACACCACGGGACACCACGAGACACCATCGGGACACCACGGCGGGACACCACAGCGGGACACCATCGGGACAACGCGGGACGCCCCCGGCCACCGCGCGCCCATCGGAGGACCAGACGTTTGCATCCGAATCGCCCTAACGACGGCGGGATCATTCCTCTCGCGCGCCCATGCAGCTTGGCCTTGCCCGCACACACGACACGAACACGGCACCGAACCCGATTTTCCGGTGGGGGGGCTCTCCGATCGACTGCGATCTCAACCCCAACCTCCGATAGCCTGAGATAGCGCACGCCTGAGATAGCGCACCTCCGATAGCCTGAGATAGCGCCTGATTTATCTGGATTCGCCTCGATCTATCTGGAAGTCGATTGGAGCAAAGTCGACAAGTCCTTAGTGCAAGCGAACCAAAAGCGGGGAAGCGCCAGCCGGCCGCAAGGCCTGCTGCACGAGCTCGCAGGTCTTCAAGCATCGGGGGTCCTCGCGAGGGGGGGCGCGCCAGAGGGCGCCTCCTCCTCCTCCTCCTCCTTCTCCTCATCCTCCTCGTCTGCGTCGTCGTCGTCGCCCATCACGCCCACCGGCTCCAGCTCTCCAGCCCCTCCTCCTCCTCCTCCTCCTTCCTCCTCCTCCTCCATCCTCCTCCTCCTCCTCCTCCTCCTCCTCCTCCTCCTCCTCCTCCTCCTCCTCCCCTCGACCTCCAGTCTCCCACCCTCCCTCCCTCCCACCTCATCCCTCCCTCCTCCTCCCTCCCCGCCCTGCTCCCTCCTGGTTTTCCTCCTCCTCCTCCTCCTCCTTTTCCTCCTCCTCCATTTCGATTCCTGATAAACTCCCTGACGCACCCCGAGGCCAGTCGACAGGGCGAGCCGGGTGTTTCATCTGAGACTTCCTCACCATTTCTGACCCTGGAGCTTAGAATGTTGACAGCAGCTTCACAGATGGAGGGTGGGTGGTTTTCAAAATAATGCTGCTCTCGCCTTAGCGACGCGCACATTCGTTCGAAACATTTGCAAGAGCTTCACGGATTGAGGGTGGGTCGTTTCAGAATGTGGCTGACATAGGCGCGGTGCCGCCATGCGACCCCTGAAACTGGAGCCTTCTCTGGAGCTCCCTATGGGGCCATAATCCTCGTGAGGGGTGTACCGAAGTGGGCGCGGTGCCGCCATGCAACCCCTGCCACTGGAGCCTTCTGTGGGGATCCCTATAGGGCCACGATCCTCGTGAGGAGTGTGCCGACATGAGTGCGGTGCCGCCATGCAACCCCTCCCACTGGAGCCTTCTGTGGAGCTCCCTATGGGGCCACGATCCTCGTGAAGGGTGTACCAAAATAGGCGCGATGCCGCCATACAACCCCTGCCACTGGAGCCTTCTGTGTAGCTCCCTACGGGGTGTATCGAAATGAGCGCGGTGCCGCCATGCAACCCCTCCCACTGGAGCCTTCTATGGAGCTCCCTACGGGGCCACGATCTTCGGGAGGGTGTACTAAAATGGGCGCGGCGCCGCCATGCAACCCCTGCCACTGAAGCCTTCTGTGTAGCTCCCTATGGGGCCACGATCCTCGTGAAGGGTGTACCAAAATAGGCGCGATGCCGCCATACAACCCCTGCCACTGGAGCCTTCTGTGTAGCCCCCTTACGGGGCCACGATCCTCGTGAGAGGTGTACGGAGAGCAGAGGCAGGGAAAAGAAGAGGAGGAGGAGGAAGAGGAGGGACGCAGGGCGATGCCTCTTCAAAACGAAGACCCAACATCACAGGATGGTTGGGAAAACTGCAAGAGTTTCACGGGTTGCGGGTGGATTATGTTTCAAAATGTAGCTCTCGCCTTTCGCTGCTCAGTTCGTCTGGCTAAATTGCAAAACATTCACGGATTGAGGGCTGGTGGCTTTCAACATGTGTCTCTCTTCTTAGCGCCGCGCACACTCGTCTCAACAAATGCAAGACTTTGACGGATTCCCATGGCCAACGTGTGGTGAAAGGACTCCGGATTGTCAGGGCTGCGCACCAGTTACGTTGATTCGCGGTGTCGAAGTCCCAGGAATGGTTTTCTGGTACGATTCAGGATCGTCGAGACGCAACGGACAAATTGGGTCGTGGCGTTGGCTTGCCGAGAATGCTATATTGGCACGCTTCAAGATCTTCAGACGGTTGCCTCCCGACGAAGCAGTTCCCTCAATGGGAACTCTTCTGAGGGCCTATGAAGGGGGAACTAGGAGGAAAAGTGTAATTGAACATCGTTGATGAGTCTTGGGTTTGCACTGGTCCTCCTCCTCCTCCTCCTCCTCCTCCTCCTCCTCATCATCATCATCATCAGCAGCACCACCACCATCATCATCATCATCATCATCATCATCATCATCATCATCATCATCTTCATCATCATCATCATCATCACCATCATCATCGTCGACATCATCAACACCATCACCAGCATCATCACCATCAGCAGCAGCACAATCATCGTCATCATCAGCATCATGATCACCATCATCGTCAGCAGCATTAGCATCAGAATCAGCATCAGCATCAGCATCATCATCATCATCATCACCATCACCATCAGCATCATCAGCATCAGCATCAGCATCAGCATCATCATCATCACCATCACCACCACCATCATCATGATCATCATCATCATCATCATCATCATCATCATCCGCATCATCATCATCATCATCATAGCCATCATGATCATCATCACCACCACCACCATCATCATCATCATCCTCGTCACCACCACCATCATCATCATCATCATCAGCATCATCACTATAATATTCATCATCACCATCATCATCGTCATCATCATCATCGCCAAGATCATCATCAGCATCATCAGCATCATCATTATCACCATCAGTATCATCATCATCAGCATCAGCATCAGCATCATCATTATGATCATAATCACCACCACCACCACCATCATCATCATCGCCATCATCATCATCGCCACCATCATCACCATCATCATCAGCATCATCACTATAATATTCAGCATCAACATCATCAGTATCATCATCATAGCCATCACCACTTCCACCGCCATCATCATCATCACCATCATCATCACCATTATCACCGTCAGCATCATTATCGCTAGCATCATAATCATCATCATCACCATCCCCGTCATCATCATCTGCACCACCATCATCATCATCATCCTTATCACCTCCACCATCATCATCATCATCTCATTACTATCCTATTCAGCATCACCATCAGCATCATTAACATCATCACCATGATCATCATCAGCATCATCAGAATCATCATTATCACCATCAGTATCATCATCATCAGCATCAGCATCAGCATCATAATCATAATGATCATAACCACCGCCACCACCACCATCATCATCGCCATCATCATCACCACCACCACCACCACCACCATCATCATCATCATCATCATCATCATCAGCATCATCATTATCGTCAGCATCATCATCATCATCAGCACCACCATCACCGTCATCAGCATCAGCAGCATCATCATCATCACCATAACCATCACCATCATTATCATCATCACCATCACCATGCTCAGTATCAGCATCAGCATCATTACCATCATAATCATCATAATTAGAATCATCACCATCATCATCATCATCATCACCAACACCACCACCATCATCATCATCATCATCATCACCATCATCCACATCATCATCATCATCATCACCACCACAAGCACCACCACCATCATCATCATCACCACAATTCATCGTCCGCATTATCATCATCATCACCATCACCATCACCATTATCAGCATCATCACCATCACCATCATCATCAGCATCAGCATCATCACCATCACCATCAGCATCATCATCACAATCCGCCGACCCCTTGGGGATCATCGGCGTGCGAGATGCTTCCCCCTCCCCAAACCCCTCCCCCGGGAGCCTGGTCCGGTCGATTTGGAGGGGGGGGGGGGGGTCCGGGACGAGCGATCCACGGGGCTTTTCCTGGCCCACGAGGGCCTCAAGACGGGCCACGAAGCCCCCAAGAGGCTTCCAAGACGGCCCACGAAGGCTCCGAGACGCCAAACGACCGCTCCAAGACGCCCACGATGGCCCCAAGACGGGCCAAGAGGTCTCCAAGACGGGCTTGAGGTCCCAAATGAGCTTCCCAAGAGGGCCCAAAGAGTCTAAAATTGCTGATTTTCCAGAGTGTTTTTCGATGTTTTTTCCTGTTCCGCCTTTCCGGCTTCCCGACGCTCCAAGACGCGCGACGAGGCCCCAAAGATAGCCCCAAGATGGCCCAAGAGTCCCCCAAGACGGCCTCCAGACGGCCCAAGACGGCCCCAAGACGGCCCAAGAGGTCCCCAAGACGGCCCAAGAGGGCCGATTTGAAGGGGGGGGGGTCCGGGACGAGCGATCCACGGGGCTTTTCCTGGCCCAAGAGGGCCTCAAGACGGGCCACGAAGCCCCCAAGAGGCTTCCAAGACGGCCCACGAAGGCTCCGAGACGCCAAACGACCGCTCCAAGACGCCCACGATGGCCCCAAGACGGTCCAAGAGGTCTCCAAGACGGCCTTGAGGTCCCAAATGAGCTTCCCAAGAAGGCCCAAAGAGTCTAAAATTGCTGATTTTCCAGAGTGTTTTTCGATGTTTTTTCCTTTTCCGCCTTTCCGGCTTCCCGACGCTCCAAGACGCGCGAAGAGGCCCCAAAGATAGCCCCAAGATGGCCCAAGACTCCCCCAAGACGGCCTCCAGACAGCCCAAGACGGCCCCAAGACGGCCCAAGAGGTCCCCAAGACGGCCCAAGAGGGCCGATTTGGAGGGGGGGGGGGTCCGGGACGAGCGATCCACGGAGCTTTTCCTGGCCCAAGAGGGCCTCAAGACGGGCCACGAAGCCCCCAAGAGGCTTCCAAGACGGCCCACGAAGGCTCCGAGACGCCAAACGACCGCTCCAAGACGCCCACGATGGCCCCAAGACGGGCCAAGAGGTCTCCAAGACAGCCTTGAGGTCCCAAGTGAGCTTCCCAAGAGGGCCCAAAGAGTCTAAAATTGCTGATTTTCCAGAGAATGTTTTTTGATGTTTTTTGTTTTTCCGCCTTTCCGGCTTCCCGACGCTCCAAGACGCGCGAAGAGGCCCCAAAGATAGCCCCAAGATGGCCCAAGAGTCCCCCAAGACGGACTCCAGACGGCCCAAGACGGCCCCAAGACGGCCCAAGAGGTCACCAAAACGGCCCAAGAGGGCCGATTTGGAGGGGGGGAGGGGGCCGGGACGAGCGATCCACGGGGCTTTTCCTGGCCCAAGAGGGCCACGAAGCCCCCAAGAGGCTTCCAAGACGGCTCACGAAGGCTCCGAGACGCCAAACGACCGCTCCAAGACGCCCACGATGGCCCCAAGACGGGCCAAGAGGTCTCCAAGACGGCCTTGAGGTCCCAAATGAGCTTCCCAAGAAAGCCCAAAGAGTCTAAAATTGCTGATTTTCCAAAGTGTTTTTCGATGTTTTTTGGTTTT